TGACTGACAGTTGGAGCAGCTCCATGGCTTAGATGGAGGACTATCCCCAAATCAAGAATTTACGGCCAGACTTGTGATTGAGCTGTCAACCCCCATGCCCACATTTTAGTGTCTTTTCATTATCTGATGTGAAAACATCAGATTTCCACACAATGACAGAAATTAAATGAGTGTGTAAACTTTCTATTACATTACATAGAAGTATTCATTGTTTCTGGATCAGTTTTGAAAGAATTCAGCAGGTATGGAGCTGTGTTATGTTTCCGATTATTATGAATCAGTGCTCTGCCTTTGCTACAACTTCGAGTGATTGATTAAGGCCTTTTTTTCTGGAACACATTCACAGTGACAGTGAAGAGGATGTTCTTTTAGATTTGTGTTTTATTCAAGCCAAAATAATAGGACAGTCTGCGTAAGCTGTCATCACAGGAGTCTGCAAGCATCCACGACTGCAGAAAACATCAGTCAAGGGCACGGTGAAATACTTGAATAAAAGGGTCTGCAGATAGGTGTGGTTACAATATGCATGCAATCATTCCTAAATAAGTGAGAAGAAAGTGTGAAAGAGGCAAAAGGTGCAGCTACGACAAAGCAGAAAACACCGTTTGTACATAAGATTGCACCCGGCTGTGAAGATTTAACCCGTACAGGTGGGAGGAAAGAGATTTTGTGAGTGTACTATACACTGAATGTGGGAAAAGATTAGTAGTTACAAAACCAGCCCACAACCACGTTTCCAACCCCAGAGATGAGTAACAGTATATTAGAGGCAACCGATCCCGATGCACATGTGCACACATCACACAGGCACACACATAAACTCTTGGCTTCCTCTTCTGAGCTAAAGGGGGGAGGATCTGGGGTGGTGAGTGCTGGAGGAGAACGGACGTGGTCCATGGCTTGGGGCCAGGGAGCAGACAAGAGGGGATTTACTATCAGACAAGACTGCATCCTGTTTATATTTTCCAGGACCCAACCGACTAGGCAAGGGACAGACAGACGGACAGAGAGGAAGAGGAGAGAAGGAGAAACACAATTAATGCAAACGGGTTTATCTTCGTGTACACACACCACGCAGAGGTCAATGTGTTCCCCAGTCCCAGCTCCTTGTGTGTGATGTCTTTCTCTCATTTTTCATTCTCTATCCCTGTATACCCACCCTCCTTCTTGCTTTCAATTCCCAAAGGTCTAAACATCCCAATATTCCACCTGGCTGCTGCTTCAGCTCTTCATCTGCGTTAACGCTTCAGACCAGGGCTGCTTAGACTGCACAAAAACATCTGGTCAGAGTGGAAGAGACGAGGCAAGACAGGACAGGATGTGGAAGGAAGCTGAGGCGAGGAGGGAGATAAGGAGCAGCAGCCATACACCATGTGCTCTAATCCCAGACCACCAGCTGCCTGCCCTGTGAAGGTGGAGCACCTTAGCCTCCTCCACTAAACAAAAACAAACAATGTGAAAAACAGAAATTAAACAACTCATTAACATACCCCCCCGCTGAAAACATTTATCACGTTTAAGGTCATTTTAGTCAGTTTCTAAATGTTTTTGAAAGTCAAAATGGCAAATTTGAGAGTATAAGCATTTCCTTTTTTAAGAACACTCCACCCATTTGCTCAGAAACTCAGTACAAAAAGGTTTTACATGCATAAACACAAGGTTAATGGAGATGCTCTCCTAGAGTAACAACCTTTCTGTTGTTGTTGTTTTCCAAAACAATTTGAAGCATAAAGTTTACCATACTCTTCATTTCCACCAGTTTGCTTCAGGTAGTTTTGAATCAGTGAGATTTATTGCAGAAAGCACAGACTGACAGCAAGTTTAAAGAGTTTAGTTGACAGTACGGCTGTGTGCAGGCCTCGGGGACTGCAAAACACAGCTGACAAATATTCAATAAATGTTTTACCAAAAATGATCTGGAAGTGTCTGGAATGAGTCTAGCACTTTGTCAGCACTAATGAAAAGCCTCACAGAGAAACAGCCTGACCAAAGGGGAAATGGGCTTCATAAGCTACAGAGCTCTGAGTGCAGCCTGGACACCCAGAGGGCAGCGGAAACTTGATTCAGTGATGTGACTTAAACGTTTTGCTTTAGCCGTCTCCCGACTGCTCTTGGCCGACTCCGAGCACACATTTGGTTTAGTTATGAAAACATCCGATGGGAAGGCAGGAGGGGAAAAAAAAAAAGAGACAACACAACACAATTTAATTTAAACCTTATGCAGACTCATTTTGCTTTCTTTCTTTCTTGCGCTTCTTTCCAGAATGCTTCAAATTCACCAGAAAGCTAGAGGGAATTCAGAGAAAAGGGGGCCTCTTTAATGTACAAGAATGCACATTTGCAAAACATCACACCGAGGCCCAAACTAGGTATAGAAGAGAGAGGGAAGAACTCTTCTAACAGAGTTGATGCTGGCCAGGGAGAACAGAGGAGAATGCTTATTTGTGGTTTGCCGGCAGGGATGGTCCTAATTATATGGGTCCAAAACAGACCTTCCCCCAAATCAAGGCCTTCTCCTCAGGGGTCACCTCCAATTCAAAACATTATCCTCAAAGATACTCCAACTTGTGATGACACCACAAGCAACTTCAAGACAAGACAAGAATCCTCATATCCTGACAGGCTTTGGTGCAGCAAATATCAAGTCTCAACAAGCATCAAGTGATTCATGAATCAGCTTCTACCAGAAACCAAGGCTGAGAGAATCTTGAAGGGCAATGACTGGCAGCTGGACACTAGAGTGCAGTTATAGTTCTGTGCACAATCAGCATCTGCCCAAATAATAAAAATGACATTGATGTGTATTAGTAACATAGTCTATCCCTCAGATAATACACTTCCTGATACACTAAGAGGAACACTAGTAAGTACAATCCATGGCAGCCGTGTAACAAAGACCTGTTCCGGATAGGGACAAGGGCCAATCCCACAAGTTTTTGAAGGGTCGGATGGGTAATGGGCACTCCAACAACCAGAAATGTCCAACTGAGCCAAATGAATGGAACAACAATGAACCACAGAGTGCACCACAGCTCACAGCCTCAGTGAATAATATGTCAACATGCATCAGCAAGCAATCTGATAGGAGCCGACCTGGGTCAGTTTCCCTCTGTTTCAGCAACACGGGTACCAAACCGCTAAATCAGTATTTTGCTCATGTTGAGTTTGAAAAGAGACAAATCTAAGTCGAGAAAGAATGTCTTCATTGGTTTGTCCACCATATGCTGAATAACAAATATTGCTCAATGCATACTGATTTTTGTAAACTCTCAAACACTGACCCGTGTGCACTGTGCAGCTGTGTGATGTATAAAAACTGAACAAATGGATGTTTCATTCATGCACCTGCAAGTAAACTCAGAGCAACATCTGAGTCTTCCCTCAGTTTCCAGGGAGAAAGGGGGGAAAAAGTGTATAGAGGTTAAGCTCCAGTAGAAGACTTCAAAAGAGAAGCCTCACAGAGCTCCGTTGTCAAAGACAGCAGATCATCGCCCATAGTTGAGGAAGGTGTGTCAAAAGGAGTCCATCTGTGCCTCACCAGTGCATTCCACATCTCAACAGGGAAGAATCAGTACTATGAGTTGTATTGTGCTGAACTGTATAGTACTGCATTGAACACCCACAAGCTCAAGCTGCAGCTCTCCAGTGATGCTGTCCTCAGATGAATTGTGAAATACTTTGGGCATTACAGCATTACACAACTGCAGGAACATTTTCATTACTCGCCGGGGGCTTCCGGAACAGTCTTTGCACCTGTATTTACAATACCCAACATTTGGTCCTGGAGCTGAAACACATCAATAATATGTGGCCCTTAAAGTGCACAAACGCACAGAGATGACAAGGACAAGTGCACATGCTCCTGCACTCCAAACATGTAGAAAACGTGTGCAGGCACACACACACACACACACACACCCCCACATCTGTCACTGGGTAAAGGTAAGTGCTGGGGTTAAGGAATACAAGCAGCACATCTCTGGATTTTATAAACAGAGGCCTCAAATACACTTCCCCTGCTGATCTGCCTGATATTTATGTGAGTCTTCCTGAAATTCCTGAAGTGTCTTTAAAAGGACAGACAAGTTGGGGAAAGCGCTTTATAAGGCA